TGCTGCCGCGCTTGCCGTTGCCTGGCGCCTGTGGCCGGCAAAGCTTTTGTGCGGGGGTTTTGGGGAGGGTCTCCCCCGGTGGTTTTGAAACACTCGAAATACACTTTAAACCCGGGATTGGGTAGGGTTCCTTGCGTGGATGCTGGCCTGGCTCACCGTTTCTGCACCAGGCGTCTGGGGAAGCGTTAACGGACAGGGCACTCTGCAGGCGTTGAGGATGTCAGGCCTCTGGTTCTTCTCTCTCTTAACATACTTCCTGTGTTTGGGGGCATATTACTTAACTTCCCAATCCCACAGAGAGCGAGCGGTACTACCTGTTTTGCCAGGGTTAAAGTGTATGTTGCTAACGCTTCTGAAGCGTTTTCAGAAGGTGGAATGAAATGTGCCGTAACAACACAAGGTATTTTGCAGATTCGAATACTGTCGGCATCGAAGTCAGAACAAATTGCCAAATGCCATGCATCAAGTCTGTTCTGGAGGTAAATACAGATGCTAGAAGCTCTGCCTTCCTGTTGCGAGCGTTAGTTGCTGAAGATTATTTCAGCTCGGCTTTCCCGAGCGTGTCAGTGTAATCGGTACGGGACCTCTCATCTGTGAGCAGAGTCTTGTGGCCCTGTGGGGCGCTGAGCCCTCCAGGTATCAGCTCCTTGCTGCTCTGTGGGGAGATCCTCCAGCAGGGAAAATGAGCTGGCTTTGATCATCAGCTCACAGAGGGGTCCAGGCTGACTCCCAGCTCAGCAGAAAAAGTCTTATCTTTTTATCCATTGTATTTATTAATAGCGTAGTGGATTATAGTGGAATTAATGAGTTGAGAAGTTTGACAAGTACTAGAGCTCGTGCTGGGTGGATGGCCAGAAAGGAGAAATAGGGAAGGAGTCTGCCCCTATCAATGCTCGTGAGAGGTGAGATTGATTCCCTCGTCTTAAGGAGCTACTGGCTTGCTGAAGGAAGGCAAAACTCAGCAGTGTGCGTGTATTTTACACCTAACCAGCGCGGTGATTAAATGCTTTGAGTAATGCAAGTCTGGTCTTAACTTCCCTGAGTAAAGAGAAACTCTCAACTAGTTGAGAAACCTAAATATCTAAAGAGTGGTGTTTAACAAATGCATGCTTTCAGCAACAGAATGAGGTTGAAAAGCTTCTTGCTGACTTATCACCCAGATTGTGCTGGTGCAGCTGTGCATGGAACTGAATTTCTCAGTTATTTCAGCCATAAAACCCCCAAATTTCTGTGGAATTATTTCACTAACTGGTTTATATTGTGGTCCTAGAGTTGAGTAAATAAACTGCAGTGCGAGAGAGAGGAGAGGGGAAAGCAGTGGCAGGAAGCAAGATATGTATATTTTTTTTAATCAGTTTTCGTACCAAGGGGGGGCTGTTTGTGAAACTGCCATAAGTCACTTCAAAAATATTTTAGCCTGTGTTAGTCAATATCTTACATCCCTGTATGAGAGCAGGGGACAGAGAGAAGCAGTCTGGTATCTGGAACACCTGCCAACCAGAGAGGTTGGTATGTCACAAGTATGGGTGCATATATTCAAGGTTAGGAAGTGTGTGTGGGTGTTCTTGTATTATTTAAAAGCAAACTTCTAATACGTTGGAAATACTGAAACATACAGGTCTCAGGCAGAGCTGGTGCTAGAATTTTTATTTTCTGATGTGGTTTTGTTCTTTAGTTAGCTAGTTCTTCCTCAAGTCGTAAGCAATTACATTTTGTTTACTGCGTAAATACACCTATTACTTCATCTAAACCTGCACTTTTAATAAAGTTCAAGACCAAGAAATTGCTGATACAGTTAAAATGGAAATTATCCTTAATACAAAAACAAGCCAACCTAGAGCGTAATGCAAATTCAAAGTGACATAAGTCAGAAAAATACTGAAGTGTTTGTAACTGACTCATGGATGTAATGTAAGTACATGTTCTAGTGTTTTGTTTCGTTCCTTCAAGACAATGTAAAGCTTTAAGACAATGTGAACTTTAAAAGTAACCTTGTGGTGGAAGCCCATCAAGGTGCATAACCTCACTTGTTTTGAGGAGATAGGTGGAAAGGTTTTAGTCCCCTATTTGCTTTTAGGAATTGCCATCCCAATTTCCAGAAGGAAAACCTTCAGTTCTATATTCAGTTTCTAGTTTTAAAAGTGGGGTGGACAACAGGAATCTCTGGCAGACCTTGAAGCAGCCTTACGCAAACTTGTAAGCTGGAGCCTTTGGTAAAGGAGGTGTTCTGTGTCAAGATCGTAATCGGGTGCGTCCGTGTTGGTTAAAACTACATCAGCGTTGCTTATGAATTCAAGGGTTGGGGTTTTGAAAAACAAGTTTAAGCCATGTTGTTCAACTCGTGGCCAGTTTTTAATCAAATAATGAATTTAGTTCTTCAGAAGTTAACTCAGTAGCATAACTGCCGGTGCTAAAAATCTAATAATGAAGACATTACATAAGAGTATAATAACTGCTAAAGCATTTTTTTCTGTATTACAATTCAAGATTAGTACGAGTAGCTGCACATGCACTCATATAGTACATTTAGGAAATAGGTATTTCTTGGAGGCATACAGATTTGAAAAGGGTAGGGGCAAGTGAATTTAGCAGAAATTTTCCTCTTCCGCTCACTGTGCAGTTGCTGGTGTTGGGAGGCCTAGGATGAGTGCTGGCGTCCGGAGGCACGTAGGTTGGCTTCTTCCCCAGGACAAATTCTCAGGACAAGAGATTGTTTGGATGGAAGGTTTTCAGAGTATTACAGGGTTGTTGATATAGTAAGGAGTGTGAGACAGCTGGGAGGAAAGGCTGTGTTCCTGTTGCTAGAGATTATTTACACCAATATTAAATAATCCAAATGGGATTTTCTGTACTTGGAGCATTGTGCCCTGAACTGCTCTTTGGAAGACGAAAATGACTTTGAAGGTTGTGAAGTGAGGTCCTGAGCTGTTGGATGGTTGATCGTTTTGTAGGCGGCAATGCTGGAATTTATCCTGCATGAATATTAGTTCTATATTTAGAAACCTTAATCTTATAAAACAGATTTAAGAAGAAGAAGAACAAAATGCATAGGCTGAAAAGGCGCCTCTAACATTATAATATGAAGTACGTGGTGGGTTCTTATAAAGTAACATAGGTACACCAAGAAAAACTGGGGTTGTTTTTGTTGCAATAATGTTTAGGGAACCTATCCTGCTGGGAATTAGAGTAACTTTTAAGTTTCTATTTCTCTGAAGAGTTTACAATTAAATGTGGTACTTACTTGGGAAGTTGAAACTGTATAAGCATTTTTTTACTTCATTGCTTTTCTAGTTTTGGGAATAGATTTTATGTTGAATCTCAATTATGTTTCATTGCATTTGTGTTCAGTGATTGAGCTAACTTTATAGTCTGTGAATGGCAGCCTATTTAATTGTGAGGAAAAGTTAAACTTCAGCTACAAGATGCTTCATATCCAGCTAATATTCTGCAGGAGTATATCTCAAAAGATAAGTGAAATAGTTCTTTTGTTTTGCATAGTACAGGAAGGGCCTTAGCTGAATGCTATGTCTGACTTATGGTCACGGCTTCAAGAAATACATGGTCTAGCTGAGGAGAGTCTAGAGAAGAATAACAACAGTGATCTGAAGTCTAGAAGGTCAGAGCCTTGAAGAAAGACTGGAAAAAAACCTGAGGTTGTCTAAAAAAGAAATTGAAATTGTCAAATCTGATGCAAAGAAGAATGCAAATAACTTGTTCTCCAGGCTTGTGGCGATGATTGCCAGAAGTAGTGAGTTTAAATGGTGGCAAAGGAGGTGTTTCGTGTTACTATTAGACCTTTTTCTTTATGGATAGGTATACTGAAGCATGGAAATAGCCTTTCTTAGCTTATTTATAAAATGTCCATTAATAGGTTCTGTCACCTCCACAGGCGGTGGAGTGTGTCAGGAGTGATGGGGGAAAGTTGGTCCAGGTATAGAAAAGACAATGACTTTGATAACCTTTCATCTTCTTTTCCTTAGGCTTGTTATGATTTATTTGTGGCGGGGTAGATCGAACATTAGAACACAACCTTGAAACACTTGAGTTCAGTGGGGATGTTAAAGAAATTTCTGCTTATGATATTTTTCCCAAAAGGCGATAGGATTAATAGCTCTGTCTTGTGGTACCTTGTTTGATTACACAAAACTTGCTTAACAGAGTAGCAGCTTCTTCTGAAAAGTTTTGATGTCTCAGGAGGCTTGGTTCTTGTCTCTGTGGATATCCCCAAACTGGTTGGATACAAAGTGTTTGGTACTGAGTTTTTTGTTAATTTATGTTGCTATTTAAGCCCTAATACTATTCGCCTTTATGTTTTGTTGTAGCTGTTAAACTCAAAGATGTCTTATTTTTAAAGCTGTTCTAATAATAGCCTTCTTGACACTTGTTTAGCCAGGAAAGGCAGTTCTTTTGTTGCACGTAGTTAAAAATACTGTAGAACAAATGAGAGTTGTTTTTTTTTTATGGCAATATCTTTTGATGGTGGCTATTTTTTAAAGCAAACTGAAAAAACCCTCTAATGTTCTTAAAGCTCCAATATTGCACTTTGTTTTGTTATTTTGTAACAAACCTATAGTTCAGCTTTATTAATTATTTTATCTGTAGAAAATTTGACCACGTGAAAGATTTTGGAGGGAACTTCAATTAGAAGGACATACAATTTTATATGTGTTTCCAAGGGAAACAAAAGAAGGCTTCAGATGATCATGGATTCACTAATTCTCTTCCAATCCAGCCTTACACAGAAGCTACTTCAGGTTTAAGAGGGTTTTTGGCGACACTTTTTGGCCAAGCGTAAGTTTTATGTAAGTTTTATTTTCAGTTTGAACAACTCGCCTTTGAAGGGCGGTATAACATACAATCTAGTAGAAATGCTCTGTCATAACAGTAGTCCCTGGCGGTTGATGCTGCTCCTTATCACTGCAGTTAGACTGAAGTCAATCAAATGGTGCTCTGCCACCCCCGGGGGAGCGAGGATTTGCTGATTTCTGTACCTGCGCCTGGCCGCTCACCCAACTTAGTACCACGTAGGTCCTTTCCGAAGTTGACTCAACTCACTAATGGTGAAGAAAGTTGACATCGCCTTTGCTGGGTTAGTTTTCTGCAAGTTTAGTGAACTGAATCTCCTTAACATGGCACCAGTGAGCTCCAAAAATCTTGCGTGGTAGGAGACAGAAAGAATGTAGTTATGTGGTTAGGGAGCGTAGTGGTGGTATGGTGGATTGTCAAATCTTTTTTCCCCTTTTTAGTTTTTTTTTTTTTTTTTTTTTTTTAATCATCTTTGTCCCATGAAACCGTACTGGTCTTAATGTTTTATATTTGAGTGAGAAGTCTCGTTCATCTGAGGCTTCTTTAGCTGGACTTGCCAGGTGTCGATCCTGACGCGTTAGATCCTTGTGGCCCTGAGCTTACACGTGCTAGGTTGTAGCAGTCTTACTTGGTCACTGCGGATTACTTTCGAGCTTACCTTTCACAGAAATAT